CACCCCACCCCAGACCCCTCATACCCCCCCCCTTCTGATAGTCAGGCATATCTGATAATCTGGCACCCCCTGGGTCCTAAAGGTGCCGGATTATTGGAAGTTTACTGTATTCCTTAAAGACTCATGATTTCAGTAGGACTTACTGATCTGACAGACAAGCTCCCCTGCACTCTCAACTTTCTCAAACACTCCCAATGTAGCAACCAGTGTTGTAACTCAAGTATCTGAAGACCACCCAGTTATCAGCTCATACAGGTCATCCTGAGTTGCAGCACATGGTGCTTAAAGTTACCAGGATTACATGTAAAATCCCAGTTCATCAGTTTAACCCAGGGGTGTGCAAAAGGGCCTCGATGGGCCGGATCCGGGTTGATCTGGCCAGCAGAGGCTCTGCTGCTCCCCCGCCCCCAGGCCAATTAGGGCCTGGAGCAGGCGGAAGCCCATGAAGTTTCCTCTGCCCTGCCCCCGCCGTGCGAGGAGCACAAGGCACTTAGAAGCAAAACATGCTCCTGGCAGGGCGGGAGGAAACTTGGCACACTCCCCCCACCCTCAAGCCCTGATTGGCCTGGGGGCAGAAGGGGGAGCGTGCAAAGTCTCTTCCCACTGCCACGGGCATGGGTGCCTAAGGGGAACCTTGAGGCGTGAGGGGGGCAAAGGTGCTCCCTCTACCCCCAGATCAATCATGGTCTGTGGGTGGGGAAGCATCCTGGCTCTGCCCCTTCCACTTGAGTCCCCGCCTCTTCCAATGCAACCCAGGGCCATTTCAAAAATTCTGAAGTAGCTCCTGGCAAAAAACTATTGCCCACCCCCTGGTTTAACCTAATGTTCAACCGGTTAACCAATTAAGCGGGATCCAGGCTGGAGATCACTCCAGCTCTGCTGGGGCAGCCACCTGCGAGGCTCCTGCTCCCTGCCTGTGTGCTGAGCTGGTTCCCAGGGCTGGCTCCTGTAGTAGTTCAGGACAGTGATACAGTAAATTCAGGATTCACTCATATGGCGTTCTGACAGGTCTCTTGCTCTGTCAGTGATGATAAATGTTCAGCTGCATGCATTTTCAGATGCTTCCTCAGTGTATCAAGCCATCTCTGGGCAGGTAGCTAGCATGATAGATTTCACGAGAGCCCCCAAAGACCACAGACTCAGGTAAGATATGAAGGCTCCCGAGACAGGTCTATTGTCAAACAAAGTACATTAATAGGTATCGTAGCCAGATGGCCTCCGAGCCCCTATGTATTTGTACCAGGGACAATGGACACAGCTCAATCTACAGTATGGATTCCACTATCGCCCCCTAGGCCGACCAAAGAATTGAGCTGAGGTGCCCCAATATTTATAGACAGAAATGAAAAATCTGTGATATACACCATATGTATCATCTTGCGCACTAATGACACATTTGGTACTTGCCCTCCAAAGCATTCACTGCCCATTGTTGTACTTCCACTCTTGTTGTTTCAAAGTATTTTATCATGTACTCAGCTGAGTGTCACTGTACTGTCCTGATGGAATGTATTTGCATACTTCATGTGCTTTTATCAGTGCTAGCAGTTTCAGTGCTGAGACACACTACCTTGCAGGCAAACATTTGCTTTTGACACCGCCTATTACTTGTTGTATAACTCTTCCTTACTTTGATTCAAGCACCAGGCCCATGCTTCAAGCTCTTTCTTTACTCTGCCGGGGCTGGGAGCTGTTGAAGAGTCTCTGTGTGGGCTGGGCTCCCCATGGACAGAGGCTGCTCCAGATGACAGCAGCCCCCTGCAGAGCTGGAGCAGGTGCCTGCCCGCAGGGAGCGGATCCAGCCCCACTCCAATTACCAGAGCCAGTGAGCATCACCTGTTAAAGGTAATGCTTACAGGTTAACCTTTCACATCCTTGATTACGAATAGCAACATTTTGACAGGAACCAATCCATTCCACTGAGTATTATTAATGTTCTTTGGACATTAGCAAAAGCCATGCTGCTTATTGATTTTGGGGGGAGAAGAAGTAGTGGGGAGAAAAAGCCCTGGACACAGGCAGGTTTGAAGAGTTTCAACCAAGATCAACAGCACTAGGACGGGTCTTCTTTGGCTGTAGCCCTGCAAAACATGTCTGTAGCAGGTGCTCAGCACATCCAAACATTTTCTTAATGGCAGCAGCACCACAAACTTGCCCACACCCACGGATCAGCTGCCCACACAGGATGCAACGGACTAAGGTACCCATATTTCCAAAAAACAGAAAACCCTGATGGAGACCCAGTG